TTCTATTGACAAAATGATTCTCCAGTTCATCAACGGTGAACAGCCCGTCATCGGCGAGGGTGCACAAGAACACCGGCTGCTCCTCCAAAACATCGTCTTCGCGCCGAAACATCGCGCCGGCCTCGGCCTCAAGCCCGCGTTCTTCACGTGGTCCGCGCGACACGGCGGCCACTCGCTCCGGTTCTTGCAAGCCGCGCTTACGACGTCCCCGGACCCCGCCTGGTCGTCGCCAAGCATGGCCGTCATCGCCAACACCTACGCGCCGTGGGGCAACTTTGCCGACCTCGCCTTTGCTGACCCCACGCTGGCCAGGATACGGCGCCTGCTCACGTCGTCGGCAGTGCCCGGCCGGTTCCAATTCATGCTCAACTACTGATTCGATAGGCGCGTGGGGCCCAGCACTCTCCCGGCGCCGTCGCCGCTGGTCCACGCACAACCGCTCTGGTCCAACCAGTTTCTTCCCGTAGATAAAAGTAGTTACGTAGAAAAGACCACAAGATGGCACATTCGGTACACACGAACGATGGCCACGATCGGAATCACCCAAGCTCAGCACGTCAACGCCTTGATGCTCACCGACGCCCCGACGGAGACGCTCGCGACAAGAACTCAACGCCTCATCCAAGCTGTAAACGACAAGTGCAGCAGCAGAGCCCTCGGACCACACGTGACGCCGAACGCTGGGTGGCTCAGCTGGCTTGCAACGACAGTCGACGCCTTCAAGTTTGGCCCGCTGCCAAGCCCGACTCTCAAGCCGCCATGGCTGGTTCGCCTGCACAATGCGCCGAAGCAGTTGACCCAGATGACATCGGCCGACGCCCGCTGCAGCCGTGCCCCGCCAAGGACAAACTTCCAGCTCCCGACCCGCCGTTTGGACGTCGACGACGACTTTTACAAGACGCCTGCCGCTATCGCCTCCGCTTCCGAGCTCCGACTACCCGACGCCATCTTACCCAAGTACGCCGACTTCGTCTACCAAGTGATGCTCCGCGCCGTCAAGTTCCGTGCTCATTTGCACTGGCTCAACAGGGCCGACCAAGCGTGTCTCTTTTTCCCCGAGCACAAGACGTACCGCCACTTCCTCGTAGACTGCGAGTTCATCAAGGACGTGTGGAACACGCTCCATGCGGTCACGGCCCCCTTGGGTGTAGTCTTGCCAACTACACTTTCGGGCTACCTTTACTCGACGCCGAAGACGGCCTCCAACACGCACCGAGCCGCGTTCCGTTATCTCTGGTCAGTGCTCCGCGCCTGCGTATGGTTCAACGTCTGGCGCGTCCGAAACGATCACGTCTTTGGCGCCGACCTATCATGCCAAGTCCATGGACGATTGCCGTCAAGGCGGCGCGTGTCGCTCAAATGCACTTGCATCACAGCCTCGTTCAAGAGCCCAGGCAGATGGCTCTCCGTCGCCTTCTCCGGCTCCTCGCCCAACACGGGTGGCCGCGACAACACCTTGTCCCGCGGATCGCGCTCCTGCCTCCGCCGATCTAGATCATGCTCACAACCAGCGCCAACACAACGAAGAAAGTCCGACAATTTTATTTAGCGTAGATTTACGTATCTATTTTAATAGACGACCCACTTCAACAACATCAACCGCTTTGACGACGTGAACAAACCTGACGGCCAGTCCGACAATGACATTTTGAACACTTGTATGGTTTTAAACTACACGTGTGATTGGTCACTCAGCACACCCTTTACATGGACGGACACGATTGCATAGGGGGTAGGGTTCATTTTGGATTAATTGAGATTAATTGAATGGGATTCTACGGATCGTTTAAATAGCGCATTTATGCGATTCTTATTTATTTTTATATAAGTGGCCGATCCCCTACTTAGAGGTACAAGGTACGACGACACCCTGGACACTGCAATTCCCCGACAGGACAAGGAAGATCTTGTGCAGGATATACGAAGACGGGCAATGGGGACATACGTCTCTGTCGCCGGCAACGGCGAATCGACGATGGAGCAAGCCCATCAACCGAAAAAATGGGCTGGCAGGTCCCTTCCTTCACGAGGAAGCGTTCGTGGTGGCACGTGAACGTTGATGAGAAGCAGACAGGTCGCTTCAAGCGTTCGAGTCGAGAGGGGCTTCAATAGAAACGCCATGGGGTCGCCGCAACGGAATGAACTCGTGCACATCACCAGCGCGGTGTTTGGACGAACGCGAGGCCAACCAAGTCGTTGCGTCCGTGGCGTCGCTCCTGCCAGTGCACTGCATCGAAACATGTGAAAGCGGATGCATTCCGTGTAGTTTACAAGTTGGACTGTCCTACGTAAATCACGTTGCGACTCAAGCACAACTCGACCATGTCCAACAGCGCGGCTTCCAAGTGGCGCTTGAACTTGACGGCGCTCGTATTCGGGTCTGTGTGGTACGCCGTGATGCTAAAGTTGATACGGTCCGGCTGGAGGGCGTAGCACACTCCATACCCATCGTTGTACATAGCCGAGAACCCGCCCCAGATCGGACTCGCACCGGCCGTGCCGCTAATGTTGCTCGTGCTAATGCGGTATCGCTTGGTGAGTTCGTACGCCTTGTCGGTGAAGAGCGACGGCCGCGGCGTGATGCCCGACATCTCCGACACGATCTGAAGGCCCATGAGGTGGCGGTCAATCCCTTGTGCCATCAAACTATTCTTCAGCACTTCGCCGTGCCGTTTGAGCGACGTTTGGAGCGCCTCCCACTTCGCCGACGCCTGCAAAATGCACAAATCAGCATGGATTGCTCATGTTCACGTCTCGAAGTACCTCAGCAGTCGACTCCATCGTTTTGACAAACGCCAGCGATTCACTCGTGAGCGACCGAACGGTTTCGGTGCGCCCGTGATAAAACAAGCGCGTGTGCGCTGTCTCGTACACGGCCGGCACTTCCTTATACATCTTGTAGTACGCTAGTTGAATGGCTTGCTGGATAAAGTAGTCGGGGGACAGCTTATAGCGCTTGAGGAAGGCGTGGCCATAGTGCTGAAATAGGAGCGTCGACAAGTCGCTCGCCTACCGATCAAAAAACATTGCATGACTTCGAGTCCTTTGCTCCAGGATAACGCATCCAGCAGTTCCATTTCAATCCATGCGACCGACAGCTGCACCCGTCGTGTTGGATCGAGTTGCTTGGTTGCCGGCTGTCGTTGCTCAGCAACTTACCTGGATAAGCTTGCTAATTGCAGCCGAAGCACACTCGATCGCAGTGAGTGCGTTGTTGTCAATCGTCCACTGGAGACGACGCGGTTTGACCTTGGGTGGGCCCACGACCGTCTTGTGCGCAAAGAACTGCTTGAAGTTGTCATTTACGTACTTGGCGCAGTACGCAAAGATGCGGACAACAACGAGGGCATCAGCCCATGCGTGCTGGCCATTGATTCCCGTGCGGGCGTTTTCATGGACGACGAGAACGACTGGTTTGTCGTACCAACTACATCAACCTTCAGAGACCCTAGATGGAGATGCCGTGTCGGCGGTGGTCATACCGGTTGCGGCCATCGCCCAAGAGACAGTTCTGCGCCACTTGCTCCGAGTTGGCAGGGGATGTTTCGTCGAGGGCGACGACGAACAGTGCCTTCTGGATAATCTCGAGCGATTGCTTGTTGCGCGCGTCGAGTTGAATGAGATACGTACGAGCCTGCGCAGTCCTGTCATCAGCACGATAAATGAATATTCGACGTACTTTAGCCCAGTTTGTGCGGTTCTCAGACGTCAGGACGCTCACGGGCGGGTACCGCTCGAGGTCAAAGAGCCCCGTTGCTTCGGCGCGCACCGCCTCAAAGGCGCTACATTCCAGTGCCATGAGAATCGGCAACGTTGGGGATGTACAAGTTGTTTAGCTTACTTGACGAGGTCTGGCAATGCCAAGGAGTTGCCTTGTTCGTCCAACACATCCAGAACCCACATGCAGTTGTTGCGCAGGATCACAATGTGGCGCTGATTATGCTCGTACACTTCGATTTCATCACAATCTTCACCTGGAATGACGCACGAGTTGAAAAATCGCGTGTACTGGTGCATGCACAGCGGCCGTCCCATCATTTTCTCGGGCGGAATTGTTTCCCTAGTAGAAGTCATCATGAAAATGACAAGTATTCGCAAACTTCCTTTGGCATGACAAACGTACGCGAGGTACTCCTTGCGATATTGCAACAGAGCGACTGTAAAGATGGCAGCGGCTTCGCTTTGGCTCATTTCACGCGGTCCCCACGTTCCCGGCACCACGCCGTACCAGTTGATGTTGATTGCAGACGGGTATCGCGGCTTCATGTAGGCGAATGTTTCCCACCATTCTTCGAGCCAGTTCTTTTCAGACGCCGCTCGCTCTTCCAAGATTGCTTGCAGCTGCGGCCCAACACCGTGGAGAAAATCGTGGCACACCCCTTTCGTGTGTTCCAACTCGGACGGCGTCAGCATCGGCTCGCAGCTCTTGATGTAGGCAGCAATGGTCTGCTCCAGAGACGGAAGTGGCAATGGAGGAAGTTCATCCTGGAACTGAAACGTCTTCTCGGCGGGCTTGTCCGCGGCCGTCAACTTATTCTTCGCGCTCATGTTGCAAGATCGAACCGAGAATGGCACCATACCCAACCCAAAATCTCTGGATCGAATGTATTGTCAACAGCGTTGGATTTCAGCCAATGAGCAGCGCCGAAGGCCAACTTCAATTCCGATTCGGTAAAGTTCGAGCACGAATATATCCAATTCAGCGAGATATAGCCCAAGGTACTATAATCACAAATAATGCTTACATTTTTCGTTTATACAGAAATTAAGATTAATCTTCAATACTTTCATTGAATGATGAAATATCCAAGGGACAATAATCAACAGGTAATTGGAGGAATTGAATTGATAGAATATTCGCACTTTGACAAATCCAAGTGATGACGCTGCGGCCGCGTCGGACGGAGCTCGATGGCCACGAAGAGAGATTCGAATGGAGGGAGGGCGTCAACGCCACGTTGGTACGACTGACGAGCAAATCGCGGAGGTGCTGCGCATGATGACAGCTTTGACATCCCTCAAATCGTCCGTTCTTCTGATGTATTAGTCGTTGCTATTACAAGTACAAGCCTTCGGGGATGTTAGCCTTCTTCTTGTACAGCGCCTTTTCTTTCGCTTTTCTGAAATCCGTCTGGGTCACGCGCATGCGGCGTTCGCGGAGGGCAAGGAGACCCGACTCGGTGCACACGGCTTTGATGTCGGCACCTGAGAGTTCGTCCTTGGACATGATGAACTCTTCCAGGTCGACATCGTCCGCCAAGCTCATGCGACTTGTGTGAATGGCAAAGATGCGGCGTTTCGTTTTCACGTCCGGCAGAGGAAACTCAATCTTTCGGTCGATACGCCCGGGACGGATCAACGCCGGGTCCAGGCTCTCAATTGAGTTCGTTGCCATGATCACCTGCACATACCCATCGTAAAACACCGTCATCGTGCACACATTACCTTGACATCGCCGCGTTCGTCGAACCCATCGAGTTGGTTCAGCAACTCCAACATGGTACGTTGGATTTCACGCGTGCCGCCGCTGCTCGAGTCGTACCGCTTGCTACCGACGGCGTCGATTTCGTCGATAAACACAATGGACGGCGCGTGGTCGTCGGCGACGCGGAACATTTCGCGCACCAACTTGGGCCCGTCCCCCAGGTACTTTTGAATCAACTCAGACCCGACAACGCGCAAGAAGGTAGCAGATGTCTGATTCGCCACCGCCTTGGCTAAGAGCGTCTTGCCGGTACCAGGCTCGCCATACAAGATCACACCCTTCGGGGGTCGGATTCCAATCCCTTCGTACAGTTCGGGGTGTGTAAGCGGCAGCTCCACAGCTTCTTTGATTTCCTGGATTTGCTGGTCCAACCCCCCAATATCCGCGTATGATTCCAGCGGCGCCTTGTCGACCTTCATCACGCTTACCATGGGATCCGTGTCGTTGGACAAGATCCCGACGACTGCCATGACTTTATTGTGGAGCAGCACGGAGCACCCAGCTTCCAGCAGGTCCTGGTTCACAAACGACATGACGCTCACATAGTACTCGGGCCCGACACTTGAAGACACGATCGCGTGGTTGTCGTCGATCATTTCTTCCAACGTTCCAACCCCCATAGGCGTCCCGCGAAGGTCGTCGACCTTGGATCGTTCTTCTTCGTCCTTTTCTTGTTTCGGCTTCATAACTTCCTGGTTCTTGATGAACTCTTCCTCCATCAACAAGAAATCCTTGATGCGTTCAAGCTTGAGCAGGCGGAGCTTGCACTTGGCGGTTGGGAACACCGCAGGGATGCGGGTAGCCGCCGATGGACCCTTCTTCTTTTTGCGCTTGCGCGTAATCGCTCCCCCTCGAGGTTCGAACTTCTTCTTCTTGGGCTGGTCGTCCTTCTTGTCGGTCTTCTTGCTTCCGCCGAGGCCGCTCTGTCCTTGCCCCATGTTCTTGCTTCGACCCCAAACCCAAGATATCGTTTGATCCGCAGATTGTGCTCCGCTTCGAAATTCGACCCCTGCCGAAAATCCCATACAAAACCTAATATACTGATGCCGCCTTGTTTAATTGGATGTAATTCTGCATATCCAAGATTTGAAGTGATGTAATTGGGTAAAACCCCTTCCAGACGAACAAACACATCCGCGATGTGTCACATTGAGCGAAGGGAAGTCCTAGTGATCAAGCTGACATCGCATGGAGTTTCTTTTGATAGGAGTCATCCTTCAGCGCTTGCATCCCCTTCTACACTCATCATCTCGAAAGCTTCCTATCCTTTCAGCACGTTTTTTGAATTTGTTCCTGAAGTCGGCAGTTCCGGATACATTGTCCGGATACGGATACGATCGCGTGTATCCGGTGAACTGTGAAACCTTTCTTTCACTTGGCTGCGCACAACCACCGTCCTGCGGGTGAATCTGAGGAAGCGCGAACCGCGTCGCCAACCTTATCCATCCCTTCACCAAACTTCATCGCACGGCGAGCACAGTGAGCGAAGGGGATGTGTACAGGTCGAGCCTCTGTCTTTTGAGGATCTGCTTGAGATTTTATAGCGCGTCTCGGACGTGTGTGATTTGTCCTGATCGAGCTGACTTGTGAAGATTAGCTTGAGAACTTTGCATGGACAATGTCGTTGTCGTCCACCCCATCATGAAAACATCCCCCGTCCACTCTTTCATGCCTTCCACTGCCCAGCACATACTCGCAAGCCGGCACGGCGAGTATGACCTTTGATGTTGTGAACATCGCAATCTGAGGAAATTGTGGTATGAGATGAAAACCTCCATCAACGACATATCTACTCTACTGCTGCTGCTGCACTCGTTCCACCATGGCCTTGAAAAACGCCGGGGTAACTTCAAACAAGTTGGGCAAGATCGTGTCTTGTCGGTTCGCGACCACGGACGTGTCGGTGAATTGGTCCATGATGACCTTGATACACCACATGCACTCAGTCGCAGGACGGCCTTCGTCCATAGTATCTCGAAGCATCATCCCGATGTTCATGTTGCGCCGCACGTACGACGGCGTCGACGGCCACGATGGATCGTCGTTCACGCTTCGGGACGCAATGTACACTGCATTGCCGACGTTGCGGCGCTTCACGATGTGGAGGCGTTCCGACTTGAACTTGGAGTTCCCGTTCTTGTCAGGGTTTGGCAGCGTCAGGTTAAGGATGGTGCGGGTGTACTTGGTGTCGTTGTCGATCGTGTCGAGCACTTCGTACGATTCGGTCAGGGGAAAGTCCAAATGGAACTGACGCGACGTGTACAAGTCCCAGATCTTGTCAGCGGCGCCGACAAAGTTGATGTGCGGGATCGTGAGGCGGGAAAACACATTGATCGCGTCGTTTGTCACTTCGTACTGGACAGTCATGCCAAGGTAGTTGATGTTGGGGACTTGAGGCGCGCGGAACATTTGGCAATACTGAATGCTTTCCGTGCACATTTGCATGCCTTCGTCCGCCACCTTTTGGAGAGTATCACGGAACGACACGGTGGGGAGTTGGAAAAATGACGACGGCATTGTGGGTGGAGGCATGAGGGCTGGCGCGGGCGGCGCAGACATCCCCATCGACGGCGACGACGTCAGCATCTTGTTCAGGGACGGCGCGTTCAACAGTGGTTGCTTGGTGAAGTAGTCTTGCAGACGTTGAATGAATTTCATTTGCTCCATGAGAGTCTTGCGCAAGAACTCGTTTTCTTGGTCGACACGCGCACGAATCTCGGCGTGCTGTTCAGCTTCTTGTTTCCACCCAATCTCGGTATCGTGCTCGGAGGGCTCCGAGCTCTGCAACACTTCGATCTGCTCCTTCAGGTCCTTGACCTTGTCGCGGAGGGCAACCAATTCGTCCTTTTGGCGCTGACGATGCTTGCGAGCGGCCTTGGCGATTTGCGCGCGACGACGGGCCTTGGGGTCTTCTGAGTTTTCATCACCACCCTTGGAGGATGTCGGACTGTCAGGTGCGTCAGGGTTCGATTGTGTCTCGCTTGGAGTCTTGCGCTTTCGCGACGCCGCGGCGGCGGGCTTCGCCTTGGACGCCTTTGGGGCGTTGCTCGACGTGGTTGGCATCGGCGAGTGCGTGGCAGACGACGAGAGCGACTGCATGCCACTGCCTCCGCTTTGAGAGTGCATGACAGGGGGCGGAACGTTCATGTAACTCGTTGGGTTCATGTAGCTGTTGCCGTGGTCATAACCTCCCATGTCGTAGCCGTTGCCAATCGACGGCATTCCACCCATGTTAAGCTGCGGTAGGCCGCTCATGTTCAAGCCGTTGCTGGCGCCCATCGCGTGGTGTCCGAGCGGCGGGTTGCCGCCGTGATGGCCGTGCTGGTTGTGTTGGCCGCCGAGATGATTTCCATATCGATCCATCGTGATTAGTAAGCAGTCGCTTGGGCCGGCGTAGTTGTGTGATTACGGAATCAAATTCTGAAGTGACGCATCCAGGCGAGATAAACGCATTAAATTCATGGCTGCCACCCACCTTCAATACAATTCGCAAGTGACTTTCAATATAAAATGGCATAGCGGATTCCCTACCCCTACCAACTACTCCAATCAAATCGTTCCATCCAGTATATATTTTCCCCTCTGGTCGAGAACACCGGGAACGTGGCACATGCAGTCAACATAAAATTGTATACTCAAACCACGTCACACGAGCGTATTTATATTGCAAGCCTAAACAGTCAGTTCTTCCCACCACCCTGTCACTCCATTCTGGAGCCTTTACTATGCTAATCATTTGGCGGTGCATGTAGCGAGTTTGACTGAGCTTCACACCGCTTGCCGGGATGGAGAACGTCGGCAGGCTTTCCGTAGACGTGCACGATTCATTCACCTTTGGGTTATGAAAATTCCAGACTTTTTGTCCAATCACATGGTAAGTAATGTCATCCGGATAAAAATTATCCGGGTGCTCGAGGATTGTTCCCTTGGATCACAGCCATCGATTGGTCAATGACCAACGGGGTAGTGTGCAATACATACGTTATAGTAGTATACTCTTCTGTGTCTTTATGTATGAACGACGAAACTGGGATTTTATGAATAAGGTTTCTGTATATCATGGCATGAGATCTTTTTCGTTTCGTCGTCAACTTTTGTAGTCACTCGCCTAGTGTGGCGGTGGCGCAGATTTTGCGACGTCAGATCGCGAGAAAGACCGACACCAAGATGCCGACCGTAGGAGTGAAGCGCGATGAGTTGTTCGCAGCCATCGGCCAGACGTTCACAGACGAAGAGTTCGATCATCTTTGCTTTGAGTTTGGCATCGAGTTGGACGACGTCACGAGCGAACGCCAAATCAAGCAGAAGGAACAGGGAGTGAATGCCGCGATTGGCGCCGACGACACAATCATTTACAAGATTGATGTGCCGGCTAACCGATACGACTTGCTGTGCGTCGAAGGGATTGCGCGTGCGTTGCGCGTGTTCATGAAGAAAGAACTGCCACCCGTGTTCCAAGTTGTCCCTGCCAAGAACCACGAAGTTCACCGACTCACGGTCAAGCATGGCAACGGATTGGAGACTATCCGTCCGTACGCCGTGTCGTGCGTGTTGCGTGGGGTCACGTTCACGCAAGCGCGCTACGACAGCTTCATTGATTTGCAGGACAAGTTGCACCAGAACATTTGCCGTCGTCGCACACTGGTCGCCATCGGCACGCACGACTTAGACACGATCGAAGGGCCATTCACGTACGAAGCGCAAGCCCCGTCGGACATTTCGTTTGTTCCGCTTAGCCAGAGTCGCGTGTTCAACGCAAAGGAACTCTTGGACCACTACCGCACTAGTCCCGACTCGAAGCACCTCAAGCCGTACACGGATATCATCTACGACTTCCCAGCGTACCCTGTCATTTACGACAAGAACCGCACTGTGCTATCCCTGCCCCCCATCATCAACTCGGAGCACTCGAAGGTTTGCCTCTCTGCCATCATGACAATCGCGTTGACGACGATGCCATCTAGATCAAATTGTCGACGCGCAACGTCTTCATTGAATGCACGGCGACGGACATCACGAAAGCCAACATTGTCCTGAACACTGTCATCGCGATGTTCTCACAGTACTGCGACGCCCCGTTCACGGTCGAGCCCGTGGAAGTCATGTACGAGCGGGATGGCCACCGCGAAGTCACGCCGGACTTGTCCAATCGCCAAGTACGTTCTCCGCCTTTTTAACTGTGCCATCCGCATGTGGTGGTGGTTTTGTCGCCGTCACCGAGCGCTCGCATGACGTCGATGACAAATGTTGCATGGTACCGACGAATCGCTCGTGTAGGTTGTGACCAAGGTCGACGACATCCACTCCATGTTGTTTGGCAAGCGCCCCGTCATCGACCTCGATGTGCAGCGCATTTGCGACTTGTGCGTCAAGATGCAGTTGTGTGCAACGTACCTTCCCGACGTTCACTCGATCGAAGTCCAAGTGCCGCCGACGCGGTCCGACATTCTGCATGCAGTCGACGTCATGGAAGACGTTGGCATCGCGTACGGCTTTGACAACATCCCTGTCACGTTCCCGCCCACCCTCACGGTCGGGGGTGGCCAGCCGCTCAACAAGTTGGGCGACCACCTGCGCGACGAAATTTCCCGTGCGGGGTACATTGAGCTCCTCACGCACGGCCTGTGCTCGCACGACGAAAATTTCAAGTTCCTCAACCGCCACGATAACTCCACGTCGGCGGTCGTGCTGTCGAACCCTGCCACGATCGAATTCGAGGTACGAGTCGCGACCCGCCATCGTGCTCATGTGCCGTTCAGGTTGTCCGCACGACCATGATCCCTGGCGTGCTCAAGACTGTGCAAAACAACAAGGGCATGAGCTTCAAGGACGGCCTCAAGCTGTTTGAAATCTCGGACGTCGTTGTCCTCAACCCCGCGAGCGACGTTGGCGCGTCCAACATCCGCCGCCTCTGTGCGCTGTACACGGGCCAAACGGACGGCTTCGAAGTCATCCACGGGCTAGTCGACCGCGTCATGCAGCTCATTGGCGTCCAGTGCGTGCTCGACCCGGAACACGCCACCGAGAACTATTACTCCATTATCCCGTCGTCCAGTACGTCCCAGTCACGCGCATGCTTCGCGGGTTTCCCGCGTCAATATTTTGCGTGGCCAAACGACTGAGAGGTTGACGGTGTAGACCCGACGTTCTTTGAAGGCCGGTGCGCCGACATTGTGTGGCACCGAGATGGCGGCAAGATCAAGCTCGGGACGTTTGGCGTGCTGCATCCCGAAGTGCTCAACAACTACGAGTTGCTGTACCCTGCATCCGTCGTCGAGATGGACATTGAGCCGCTAGTCTAAGCCTGGGAGACACGAGTAGGACGAGTAGCACCACCATAATGGCAACGTCCTTGCCATGGGGAGTTGGTTTCATCCGCATCAAAAATCGAGGCACGCACAACACTTGGCGGGGGTATTTTTAGTCATTCTGGACCAAGATGAGCCACCACGTCGCGTCCAAGAAGGGAGCGTCGTGGGTGGAAGGGGATGCGCTCGATCGGGAGCTGGCGTCGTTGAACCAGACCATCTCGCTGTGCAACCCAGTCTTTCAAGGCCACGTGAACGACTGGTAGGGCCGGGCGATGGCGTCGTGGGCGTCTGCGTGATGTGGACGACCATAGGCAAAGCACGTCGCAAGTAAACCAGGCGAATGTCGAGACGGAGAAAGCTCTGTTTGCCGCACCCCCCAAGCCCTTCCACGGCGTAAAGAAGGCCAAGCAGCTCGAGCTGGAGCCGTCGGCTCTGTCGACGCCGCTGGCCAAGGACAAGGACATTGCCGCGTACGCATCATCATCCCATTCAACACAACTCGTATGTTGACAGCGGGGGGGGGGGTGTTGACTAGGTTGTTGGCCCAGGCGAACGCCACGTCATGTTCCCCAGTACGGCCTGACGTTGTCCTGCTCAATGGATCACCGATGTGGGGGTAGGGAGGGCCTGGAAACAACGACAACGAACAGATCGTGGATCATCACGCCGCCAAGGCAAGTGCAGCCGTCGCGAAACCGATCCCAAAAGCCAAGCGGATGCACATGGACGGCATTCTCCATGGGCTCCCCGTCGCGTCCAACTACAAGCTGACCACGACCGTCACCGACCACTTTGCGTACGACACGGAAATGAAAGCGATGAATCGCGACAAGGACACGAGCCACTTTCGCAAGCGAGACTCGTACTCCGAGTACGTTGAAGCCCGTGCGCGGTTTAGCAAAATGCACAGCGTCACCTAGCAGTACCACCGCGGCACCTCCTAAACGACCAAACACAAGGGACAAACAACTCGACCGTTTGGTTCGTCTCTCGCCTGCGCTAGAGTTCCAAGGCGGTGGTGTCGCCGTGGTTGGGTTCACGTGCTTCAAAGGTTGGCGGGGAGGAGGGCACGAGAGCAACATCCATGACCACGTCGTGAGGATCTTTCAACAAGCCGGGTGGCCCTTGGGGACGTACAGCAGTTGGCCCGTCGTCGTCGGTCGATGACGGAAAGCCGTCAGGAGGTGGCGGAGCTACGGCGGGCGGTGCGTCTGAAAGTGGCGCATTGCCGTCGACGGGATCGGAGTCGACGTTGTCCGTCGTGCCAGTCAAGGTCACGTTGTTGCTGGAGTGGCTCGTTTCCGCGGCACCATCGCTGTCGTGCACGGGGCACACGTCGCTGTCTAAATCTGGAGGCGCAACGAATAACTCAGCGGAGGTCTCATCGACGTCGAAGGGCTGAAAGGAGGTCGCGGTCGACTCGCGTCTGCCACTGAGGTGCGTGTCGGAGGTGCGGCGAGACGACAGGAACCCTTCATCTTGCGGCGTCGACGCACGATGGGTCAATACACCAGTAGTGGGGATCGTCATGCCGTCGTCACGTTGCTCTTGCTCATCGAGGGAACGTCGAGCGGAGTCAACATGTCCGTGGCATGCAGTGTAGTCACAGGTGTTTGGGCGATCCCTTTCGTCATCCATGCCTTTGGATTCGTCACATGAAATGGTCGCGAGGTCGGTGGCACGCTCAGGCTCGTCGGTAGCTCGCGGGGACGCCGCAATCAGGTCGGCGACTTGTTCAGGCTGGGTCGACAACGACTGTTTGCCGTCAGGAGTCCCGAGGTTTCGCCTGGCTGTGGTGTCCTTTGGCGTGCCATACAGCACGTCGGCGAGAGTGTCGGGGCTTGCCATCTGCACAGACTCGGTCACTGATCCTGCTCTGATCCTCGGACGCACCTGTTCTTGAATTTCACGCAGAGACTGGAGGAGGAACTCGCGATGCTTTTGCGATGTTACGCGCTCGTCTTCCGTGGGGGCAATGCGCTGAAAGCTTATATTCGCCGTCGACGATGTCCTCGATGGCTTCTTGTGGGCCTTCTTCGCAAGGGAGCTCCCGTCGCTGTCGTCGCGAAGAGTTTGCACAACGGCGTACGGATTAGGACCGGCTTTCTTTCGGGGACCACCGACGTCCGTCGTCGGGCTGCAGCTGCTTGGCGTAAACGAGGGGATAGCCGATGCAGCGGTCGAGAGTTTTGACGCGCTATCGACCATGTGCCGCAACGGATGGTGCTGCGACAGCGTCATGGACGATGCCGATAGTTCGGCGAAGAACAAGTCTTCTTTGGACGTGGTCGTGAGCGCCTTGGTACTGCCAAGAGCTGCCAAAGGGTTTGGCACCATGGTGGTCGGTTGCCGCCACGCTTCGGGGATGTATGGAGCCGCACTGGCGGGATGCGAGGCTGTCGTCTCGGCTGCAGGAAGCCGAAGGGACGGCGCAGACATCGACGACCGCAGGACCTCTGGCGGCAAGTGGCGCTGCACGTGGTCTAGTGTGGTGTGGTCGATGCGCTGTGGCAGTGACGGCGGTGTCTTGAACGTGTATTGGCTCTTGGCCATGGAACTGTGCTGGTTGTTGCACGGCGCACTCGGCACTTTGTGCGGCATCCATGCCGAGTCCGGGAGGTGTTTTCGAGGTGTGCCTTGCTTTAGTGGGGGAATCTCGCGCTGTGGCCGCAGCACGGCCGGGGCTTCCTGCCGCAATGTGTTGACTTCCAGGGCAGACGTCGAGTAATCGGCAAAGACGAGGAAGCAGTCGGTGCACACTGCCGTCGTCTTGTAGAGAAAGACAGGGTCGTGAGAGAATCGCGCAAACTCGTCCACTGTCAGGTGCGGGTGCAGAGATCGCAGCATCGGTGGGATCGTCACGTCTGCTTCTGTGATGGGTTTTGCGATGGTGGGTCGACGGGTTGCTGCCGATGAAGTGGCAGACGTCATGCCCCGTTCCTGCACACTCCCAAAGCCAACGCCGCCCGCTGCAACGATGATTCGTTCGTCGGGCGGCCACAGCATCGCCGCCGTCGGCCCGGGTCGCCGCAGCATGTCAACTTTCATCGCGTGGAGGAGCTGTCGAAAATGCTCCAAGATTGCTTTGTACGTGACTGTCGACGCGACGGACGATTCGATCGAGGTGCCACACGACCGGCACGAGGTAAAGTGCCGGAGTTTGGCCTGGGGCTTGCCGTCCGGCATGATGTTCAAATGCACAAAGGACGGGACGTGCGCGTCCGAGTTGATGTCAACGGGCTTGCTCGCGTCCGTCGACGACGCTGCTGCGTGGGCCAGCCGAACCGACGACGACCAGAGGAACCACACTTTGTCGTTCGAGTCCGTCTTGAGGTGCAGCACCATGCGCGAGATGCGGTGCTTGTGAAACGACACTTCCATCACGTGGTCCACAATCTGCTCACAGAGGTACTGAATGTCCCCGGGAAGGATCGATCCCCGGACAGGATCGGGGTTGCTGTACGCGTCGGCCCCATCGAACGTCACGGCGCGCTCGTACAAGCCATACCGAACATCGTGGAGGCGCCGCACGTTCGTCTTGCGCTCCAACAGGCACATCTTGGGCGTCCAAATCGCTCGAATCATGGCTAGACATGTCACTCGTATGAGAATTTGGGACGACCACCAAGTTGGCGCTGCATGGAGCCCATTGCCCTTGGTCCAGCACTTGCGACGAGTGCAAGGAATCGATCCACGCGTCACTTACAATTGCACGATCCCTTGGGGACGACGAAGCGCTGCAACACGCCATTTTGGATCTTCTGTCGGGTGTACAAAAAGTCCTCTGATGCACATGCCATGGCGTGAGAGACAACCCATGAGATGGCGGCTCGCGCAACGTACTCAGGCCATCTGCGTTAAAGTACTCGATCGTCGGCGCATCTACACACACGGACTTATTCGTTCGGGGGAACGAAGGACGATAGATGAAGGTCATGAAGACAAAGCACCGCCTGCGGCATCGCAGTTTGAAGCAGCAGTCAAGTCATGGGTTTCACGCGGGCGACGATGCCGCCATCGTGTTGAATGGTGCTCCGCGTGACGAGATCGCAGTCGTACCGTTGAGCATGTAGATGTAGTAGGCGACAATGTCGACGCCGCACGACTTACGACAAAACTCCTTTTCGATCTGGACGTTGGTCAAGCTCGCCTTGGCCTTCTTCTTGACCTTGCCCGACTTGCTCGTGAAGTACCAGAACGCAGGCTGGGTGAACTTGTACACGACTGTGTCCGGCATCAACAGAGACGGCCCGCCGCCAAACTCGTCTTTGCACCACAGGTAATAGAACAGATTCTCGACGACGCCGTCGCCTTCGAGGCTCCAGTTCCCTTCGTGCTCCATGGGCAGTACCGCGCGATGTTGTAACGATCGAACGTAACGCTTCTCACGAAAGTTTCGTTTGACTGCTCTCAAACGTCCTCTTGGTCGTTTCAGCGTACTTAAATGAATGCGACGAACAGTCGCCCCGTCGAAATCTTTTTCCCGACACGGTGGCCAGCCGACGACGACGGACGAAGATGGGCAATCAGTTGTGCGGGTGCTGCCGATCGGGTCCACCGCTGGACGAAGACTTGAATGGTCTCTTGACTCCAAGGAAGGAATATGTTCCTCCGACAACGTGCACGGTGCAGCGGACGGTGCTCAAGGTCACGCACCCCACCACTCCACGGAAGACTGGACTAAAGGAACGGTATCCACAAGAAAGCACATCGAAAGTCGAAGAACCCCGCGAAGAAGAAGCTGCGACTACTTTGACCACCGCCGCCCGTGCCGAAGATGTCCGTGCGCGGACTCCGAAACACAAACACATCCATCATCGCCACCCCCATGCTGGAAGCAGCGTTACGTCGGCCGAGGAGGGAGCCCACGACGGAAGCAACCACCACGAACGCCATCAACGTACACGATCGCATCAGGACTCGGACGGCGGCGGGTCGGCGCGGTCTGTACACTCGAGCAACCATTCGTTGGACTCGCCGTCGAACGCTTCCGCCGACGACGACGAGTGGACGACGGCCGTGTCACCGAGTTCCAAGAAAAAATCAAAACGTAAGGCCAAGTACGGTCGCGCCAACTACCGCGCCGACTCCGCCAAGCGAAACGCTGATTAATCCGTCGTCGTTGTAACAGCTCAGTACATCATATCCATGGTCGTGTGAGTACAAAGAATTACTTTGGGATGCGCTGGATGTGCTGCAGCAGCTGCGCTTCCGTCAGACTCCCGTCGAGTCCACCCATGGCATCGGTCCCGACAAATTTAAACACGGGTGCGTCCGCTTCGAACCCGCCGACACCGTACGCCGCTTGCTTGGGTGTGAAGATTAACCCTTCCACGTTGTGGGTGACCTTGGGAATGAAGTTGCGCAGTAGGTGCTCCGTCTTCTCCAGGCGGAAGTGGTCCTTCATTCGGACGCGGAACGTCTCCTCGGCCCCTTCCAGGGCTCTGTCCTGCACAGGTCGCCACCACAATCGACCGATCAATGATTGTCGCGACGACAGCTGTGCACGTACCGCCTTGCGAGGAAGAATGATCTCGTTCTGGAGGCACTGCAATCGTTTCTCGAGCTTGCTCTTGTACACAGGCGACCCTTCCCACGCAATCACGTCAAACGCGAGAAAGCGCAGAACGACGCCATTGTCTCCGTCGCGGTCTTCCACGAGCACGCCATCCACAAGAGTCTTGTCGGTGTTCTCGTGCTACTCGGGCCAGGCCGTCAGTCCTTCCATCGTTTTCTTTTTCAAGCTAACAGCCAGCGCAACCTCCAATGGCGCATTCAATTCGATCAGGCTCGTCGTACCAAGGCTCGTTTGCGGGGAAATTTGACGTTGATTTTGGTGAATGTCATGGCGCGGGAGACAAGGTAGTTGGCGTCCTTGAGCGCCAGAATCAAGCACCGCTTCCTGCAACACCATCCATTGAATCCATGAATGGTTGCAAGCCACTGTACCCTCGGGCGCGCCATGTGACCAGGTACTCCTTTGTCAGGGTGCCTAGCTCGCCCTTTGCAGGGTCTCGAATGTGAATCATTGTCAGCGACGTTGCCTGCCCAGCATCGTGTGAAGTCAAATATCTAATGCTTGCAACGCGTACTTCGCAGCCGGGAAAGCCGTCGGATGCGCCGCCCGTGAGCTCTGCAATGACTGCCACAAGTCGTTCGTGCTCAGCGGACGCGACGGGTACAGCTTGACCAAACGCAAACGGTTCGACTTCGTCTTCCCACGTTCGAATCTTTCGTTTTTTCGTCGGCGCTTTCTTTGCCTCGGGCATGCGGAAGACTGGCGCGACCGCTGGTCGGTAGCTCAGTTGATGCGACGTTGCCGAAGCAGATGCGGCATTTGGGGGTGCATGGTGGGGTTGCACAGGGGCTGATGGGGGTGGTGCATGGCTGCTGCGGACGAAAGGGTGCGCCATGTCCTCGTCAGTCAATATGTCGGCGCCAACAACTTCTGGTGAGTCATCCACAGCGACTGGGTCCCACGACGGAGGGTCGGATCGCCGAATGCGGAGACCTTGCGGCTTGAGCGTCGAGTAGTACCGCTTGTAGAGTCCCTGTGCGCAGAGGGCTGAGAGCAGCGCATAAAGGTTTCGAAGGACGTTGTAGACTCACTTCCAAGCATGGAGTAGAGTAAATACCCATGGGGTTGCTCCGCTTGTACGTCTCCAAGGCATCGTTCAACGACATGCCTTTCAGTTCGACCAGGTAGCTGTGGGACGGTCGCTGTCAGGTACACGACAAACATCTCACACCTTACCACACGATCAGAAACGCCGCTGTGTTGTACCCACGTGCACCGAACACGGCGATGTTTTCGTCCCGTCGGTCGCCGGCAAAATGTTGTTGCACGCTCTGGAGAAACTTGCCCACGAACGATTTGGATGGAACAATGTCGGTTGGTGACGCATCATGGCCTGCATCGGCGTCGGGATCAGCGAGAAGTTTGACGTACTCGACGTCCCAATCGTTCCATTCCCTGTTCTCATAGTCAACGACTCGTGGTGCCACAACTTCAACGTTGAACGTACCCTCGTTCGTGGTAATATAAACCATTGCCCGAGGCGTCAATAACTGTGGCTACGTTGAGCAGATTCCCCCGCTTCGCCTGTTCGATGAGAGCTTCCATGAGGTCCGTGGGGGTGGCGCCTTTGAACGTGGTGTCGTAGTGCACTTCATACAACGTCGACAGTGGCGGACGAATCGGCACAAGGCGCTCAACCAAACCTCCAAATGGAGGAGTCTTTTGGAACACTTTCCATTCATGGTCAGTCCATTGCAGCAAACGGCGTCCGCCCGACGATGTTGCGGCCTTGCTCTGCCGCTTGATGGCGGCCTGGATCCGGTCCATTTTCCCCGCCTTCTTGTGTACTTCTACCTGGCGACACCTGATTGGCTGGATTTGAATTGACGTCGCTTGGTTGGCTGAAATTCCCGCAAGACAAACCTCTTTTAATGAATAATGCACTCCAAAGCATATTTAGGTTTAGACGATAGATTCTCGACATGGATAGGACCTTGGAGCGAGGTCGCTTCCAGCCTAGATGTCCTTGGCGGCCACGTCCTGGCGCATTCGCTGAAACGACGAGAACTGAGAGATATCCACACCAAATGCAGTAGAGTTCCTATGCACAGGAGTGAGTCGCAAAAGCATGGAAGGGAATGCAGCGAGCACTACCTGGCAAGTTCTTGCATGTCCAAATGCAGCTGTTGCCGCATCTTGTCCGTGTCCGATATAGAATCGTCCAAGCTGGACGAAGTGTGCTACAACACCACCGAGATCAAGATATTGAGGTGTTGGCTCTATCGAGCGTATCGGCGTACCATGAGGCGCTGGTTCTTGCGGCTCTTCAACGACTCTTCCAACTCGGTGGCAGACTTGAGTAGCTCCGACGCCAACGACGCGTACATTTCCATTGTCGTCGACAACACGTCCGCACTCATCGCATATGCGCCCAACGAGTCGCGCCACTTGTCGAGGAATGCGTGGAGCGGTCGCGTCACCGTCGCCACGTACGACGACGGCGTCGTCGGCATGGGTTTGTTGGTCATCTGGTACTGTCCTTTGATCGTTCTAACCATGACATGCCGTCCCAGACTCTTGGGGCTCGTCGGACTTCGTACCTTACGGCAGGCAGGACTTTTTTGCACTCCTCCGACACGACGATGACTGCCACGTCCCAGCACATGCGCTCGAGAAGCTCCAGTGCTTGCATCGGCTGTGCTGAACGTGAGGCTAGGTAAAGTTCGTCACGGCAACTTGTACCTCGTCCACAAGCTTCCGCGCAAATTCTGTGGCAGCTTCGTCCGACGCCAGCGCCTCTCGCGGCACCTTGGACGCGATCATCCCGACCAAGTCGCGCTTCACCTGCGACCTCCAAACTGTCAGTCGTTTGGCAAGTTCCTCCCAACACGCAACCGCACCTGCAACCCAAGGCGGTGCAGGTCGCTGCCGAGACAGAACACGTCGTCGCATGTCGAGAGCCCGGCGTGGTGGACTTCCGTCAAGCTCATCGTCTTGGCGTTGCCTTGGGCAGATTTCACCAAGGCCAACGCTTTCTCGAGCGGGTCGCGCCAGTACGATGCATATTGCGACAACACTGTCAGCGAATACCGCGCCGAGGCCGCGACTAACGGCGCCAGGACAACGCCGTCCGACCAGGTCTTCACCAACACTTGCCACGTCGCAGTCGTCACTGGAAACGCAAAGGAGGACGAGTGGCTGTCGGACGTTGTCGGGGGCACGAACGAGTCCAGTGACCGCATCGTCGACTTGCTCACTGCCAGCGCCTGGTTGAGTTCATTTTGACGCAGCTACATACAGAACCAAGTTCAAACCATTGGCGTCCATGCCGTGGGTGGTGTGCGCCAACGAGATGTTGTCCACAGCGCGGTGGAAAAGCAGCACCTGCAAGTACACGACAAGGTTCCACGAGTCACGGAACGGCTGGACGTGCGTCGTGCGGAAGCGTTGGGCAGCTACCGGCGTTGCACAGAGCTGCTCCAACGACGTCGCAAACGACATGGACGTTGTAAAGTTCTACGCGATGCACATGGATACCATGAAAAGGATGCAGCGATGGGGTCGGTGTGCTTTGACGACATCGAGCGTATCGATTGGAATCGACTAAAATCGGGGACTGGAGCTTACGTGGTGGAATCGGTCGGGGTTGGCAGGCGTGAATACTTCGCCCAACTTGGCGCGCATCGTGTCGACGACCGGCGTCCAGATCTGCGCGATTCCAGTTGATATCATGCCGAATATTAGTTCTAGCGTACGCTGTGGCCAAGGAGATCGACGCTCGTGCTGGGGTTGCCGCCCTGACACACTGGTAGCACCAGCACTGCCCCGAGCTTGCGTTCGACATATTGGAGAACAGCCGCGTAAATCCCCGAAAGGCCCTCACATGATCCGCGGTGCCGACCGTCCAGTCGACCTCGTGTCATCGTCTCGTCGAGGAACGGCTGCATGACGAGTCGGGCGACCATGGCTTCAGCGATCGATGCTTCTTGAAGGAGCACGTAGGCGCGAAGGAGGTGGTTCACGTTGGTCGTGTTGATCACGTGTTCGCGAGCGTAAAAGCTATCTGGGACGATCTCTGTCGCGAGTTCTGCCTACAACAGAATATTTTAGCTCCGAGATGCAATGCACCGTGGGGATGTTGACGGAGTGGGCTGTGTAGCAGCGACAGATATACCTCGAGGCGTTGGCGAAGAGTGCGTTCGACCAGTGCGAGCCGTGGCTCCTCGGCCTATGATCACGTTAAGTATGGAGCAGATGTCACATCTTTGCGGAGGCGTTGTGTACCGAGATGGTCGGGACGTCGACGCCTTGTGCCAATAGACTGCCGAGTTCAAGGACAAGCCGCGCAGCTCGTTCGAGGAGGGTCGATTGCTCGGCAGAAATGAACGGAACATCGACTTCTGCATTAGCAGCATGAGAGATCGACGCAATCCCAAGCAACGACTCGACCGAGTGGAATTTCTCGGCAATGCTACAGCGATGACGACAACACATGTCATGAACGTCTGGATGGGTCAGGATGATGTACGTGATGCTGAGCTGCAGATTTGCCTTGTGCGTTTGCAACTGCGCTAACTGCGCCACGTGGGCTTCTGCTTTGTGCACCAATGTATGCTACGAATACTGTCACCATTGCATATATCGATAAGGTGGGTTGGCACTCACGGCGGCTGCCTTGACAGCATGGACGCGTTCGAGGATGTGCAGCAGTGGACTTCTCAACGATAAGACAGCACTGTTCACTCCTTTGAGCTTTACGGACAATTGCAGGAACTCGGCGTAGTCTTTGTCGATGATTGCGACGAGCTTTCATTGGTGTCACACGGAGGGTCTTAAATTTAATGACACACACCTGGTTCTCGAGCGACTGCATAAAATTTTCCAGGTCATGGTGCACTTGAACAATTGGGCTACGGCTTTGGCATTCTTCCAAGAATGTCGCGGGGTGGAAGTCGTCTGCTTCGAACGCCGCTTCCTCGAAGCAGTATCCCATGATGGCCGAGCCGATTTCACATCTCACGTGGCGCGATGGGGGTATCCGGATAAAAAAGTCCGAATAAACATGGACTACTAATAGTAGTACTAACAGTTTTGAAATTTCTAGAATCGGATACCTGGTGCGTGAGTTTGGTCTCATTTCCATTTCGAGAGTAACGTGGGAAAGGAACGGTCGCCGAAGCCGCGGCCCTCCTCCGTGACCTTTACTGCTATCAGCGTGTCCACTACTGAACAGTCGTCATCAAGCACACCAGCATACCCATGAGCTCTGACGAGTCCAATTCAAAAGACGCCCCGCTCTCGGCGTTGCATTCCAACATCCGCGACAAGGGCACGAATGCATACTATTACGCGCATAAGAAACGATCGGGGGCTGACGACCATCAATGGGACGGTCAGTGCGAACCTCGATTGATTGCCAAGTCGGACAGCGTTATCTCTGTCTCCACGGATCGCCCTATCACTTCATACGCATGGTCCGACGGGAAGAAGTGCGCGACCGTGTACATTGACATCCCAGCAATTGCCAGTCATCCCGACGAATCGATCACTTTGGACTGGTCGGCGCGGGAGCTCGAGGTTCGCATTCGAGACTTTGATCCGTCGGGAGCGGACCTCGTGTTCAAGATCAAGTACTTGTATGAAGAAGTGATGGGTGTGACGTTGAAGAAGAAGGACGACAAGATCGTGCTGCGGTTGGTCAAGGCGAAGGAGCTCACTTGGTACACGTTAAAGAAAGATCATCCTTGAGCACCCCACGCCCGATGGCGCTTGTCCATGCCACATGCATCCTGCCCAATTCTCCTTCATATGACTCGAAAGTCCGACACTTCCACGGCAGGATCAAGTACATCTATTTACTTCCTCACGCATCGGTTGTGTTTCTATGGCGTCTCGACAGACTCGGTGAACGACGGCACCGGCATGAAGTACGTTTGTTCGATCGCATCCACGAACCGACGTGCGTATTGCTTGGGTTGGACGACGGTCGGCGCGGCTTGGCCTGCAATCATCGTGACACTCTTCCCGACACTCTCCATGCGCTTGAGAAAGTCGAAATGGCGCAGGTAGTCAATAATCCCGACGAGGAGGACGCGGTTGGTGGTCGTGACGGTCTTGTCGTCGTTGGCGACAGGCACGTTGGACGCGTACCCGATCACGAGCGAATAGTCCATGATGTTGTTGTCGCTGAGGAACCGCGCGTCGTTGCGAATCGCGTCGACGAGCTTGGTGTACGACCGGCAATGCAACGGACACGGGAGGCCGAGGTGGCGCTCGAGGAAGTTGCCATCGAGGAGGACGTCGGGGTGCGCGTCGTGGGTCACGAGGTATCGATTTCGCGTGCTTCCCTTCAAGTCAAACACTTGGTCGACGTGCGGCGCGTTGCAAAAGATATTTTCCATCACGACCAAGTGCTCCGTCCACTTCTTCGTCGTGACCGTGTACACACCCACGAGCTTGCACAAGACGCTGTTGGCACTCTCCGCTTCGACTTTGCCAATGTAGGCAAAGTACGACAGGGCTGACGCGAGGAAACTCTACACCGACATCATGAGCGTCGCCCGCTCGTCAACGTGGCCCTTCGTCCAAGGCTCGGCATGGCTGCTCTCGCCCACCCCAAAAGCCAACGGCGCATGGAGGCGGTGTGCATCGAGTCGTACCTGCAACTCGACTTGGCTAATGTACTTGATCACGAACCGGTCGTCGGACGTGCGAAAGAAAGTCGCGCCAGACTTGCCTCCTTTGGCGCTCCAGTGCTGGCTGGTCGCAAGCGACCTGACAAAGTCGACGAGGCCCCCGTAAAACATGCACCGCAACGCTTCAAACTACGCCGACAACATGTCAGGTCGCGACGTGGTGTCGGTCTACGACTCGTGGCACGACCTGGAGGGCGTAATGCACTTGGCACGTAAACTCGACATCGCTCGACGACACCTTGAGCTTGACCGTTGTGTCCACCGGCGACGTCAGGAACTCGCCAACATGGTCATGCTCGAGCGCGGCGCGGATCGCCGTGGTTTCATTCAAGTACTCGGACGAATTCAACGCGTACGTGACGAACGAGAAGCGGAGGTGGTCGTATACATATACAACGCGGTCGTTTGCGCCGACGGGGAGGAATGGATGGCCTCCAGCAAACACGTCCGGGACAGCATGGTGTGGGTCCAGCGCCAGCGTGTCCATCGGCTTCTTGTCGCCGAGGAGGATCGCGCCGAGCGAATTGCTCAGGGCAGTGGTCCAAGACATTGGACTGGGCGACGACATGGTCACAGGGGGGGTCATCTCACCCGTCGACAACTCCTTCACACTGATCGGAGGCAGCGGCGGCAGGTCTCCCTCGACCGGCGCGCCTTCCGTGGAGGACGTATCCAATCCCAAGGCGTCGAGTTCGACTCGTGCACTCTGCGCCAGCGGCGTGGCTGGCATCCCGTCGACGTCCCCAACAGGCGCAATGTCATTCGAAGGCGGCGACGTGTCGAGTGGCGTCGCATTTGCAGAGAGAGACTTGGTGATCTTGTGTACCATTACCGACCAGTCGCAGCACGAATGGTAGAATGCCCGACGGACCGTGTTGGCGTCCACCTGGAACGAATCGTCATCGAACCACACACAAGCAGCGCTCCTTACCACCGACGACGCGTGCACGACTTCGCCATGCTCCATCAGGTCGGTGAGCTCGTTCATGTAGGTCTTTTGCGCTGTCTTCATGAGAAGTTCGAGGCACATGACCTCGCGAGACGATGGAGGCAGCGTCCTCAGCTTGGCGTAGAGCACGGCAAAATGGTTTGCCATCGCTTGCTTGAGGTCCGCGGCTTGCTGGCGCTGGTGGGCCACGTACCAATTCTGGTCAAAGTGCAAGCACTTGTCGTGCTTGATGCTCCACGGCTCATCGTGCATGTACTCGACGCGAATCGCCCGTTTCCCGCATTTAAAGTACAACAGGTGCTGTGTTTGTCCGTCATGTGGGCAGATGCAGTCGCGGGGGTCTTGGTCATGTCGAGACGTTTCGCTCGCTTGGCCTTTGTTCGCCAGCAAAGTTGTTGCGGCACTGTCGTCGCTCGATTCGAGCGGAATGGACTCGTAGACCGTGCACAACTCACTGGGACCGTGTCCAGGCATGGATTGAGGCCCTGGCACGTTGAAAATGGTCTCGAGGAACCGTGCAAACGAAAACTTGAGCGTCGTGACCGGCAACAGCCGAGGCGGCATCACCATCTTGGAGCACTCACGGCAGTGTCGCCAAAAGAAGATGGTTGGACCCGTCGAGTCGTCGTCCATACAGGTCCCGGAGCGCTCCAGTGGCTGGTTGTCCGAGGCCGCTGCAGCGGCGTGCTGTCCTTCCGTTCGTTCGATCTCAGTCCGCGCGACGTCTGGCAAGTGCTCGGTCGAAATGAGCACCGTCCCGTTGAAAAAACTATACGCTTCAAGGTGTTCGATCAGCGGCACTTTGCAGTTTGGGACCTACGTCCACACCCAACTCAGGGCCATCGGACAGTGCGATGCCAGTACCTGGCACTTGGTCGACGAGTCGATGCCTTCCTTCTGCAAGTACGACCCCAGCGCTTTGTCGTGTTTCGAGTAAAACGCGACCTCGTGCGGCTGGGGCCGACTGCATTGCGAAAACTTGGGCTTGTGCACCTCATCTCGATGCTTGAGCATGTATTTGATCACCTGGAATGTCCACTTGTCGTCTGGCTCGTCATCGGCCAAATTCGATCGCACAGGATACGCCAGATCGGCCAGCGCTTCGGCGCGCAGCATCAGGTCGTACGCGCGAGGAACGAGCTGCAGGACGAGTGCCTTGAGCGCGCGCAGCACCGCCTTGTTTGGTCCTTTCAGCAAAATCGTACATCCGGCTGACGCGTCGCACCCGTCGACAATCAAAATCGAATCGCGCTTCCACCCGCCAGGTTCCTTGGTCTACAAAGTTGTCAGCGCCGCCACCTTTGCGCATCCGATGGATCTTCACACATGCAGCGCATGGCGTCGACGTCCTCGGCAACGTATGAAACGTACAAGGTCGGCAACTCGCATCGGCATGACGGCAAACGAACCGCACGCTGTCCCGACGACGCTTGTGTCGTCGGGTTGCATCGTGTCGATGGACGGCACCATCTTGGCACGCGTCAGCCGTTCGAGACGGCGCAGCGTCGCTTCCTTCACCTTGAGGACGAGCGCAATATTGTGTAGCTGCAGTTGGTCTTGCGCGAGCCGCGACACACTCTGCTCGACAAAAACCACACTCGGCTTCACCGCCAAGATCTTGTCCACGAGCTGTTGGGCGTACACTGCTTCGTCGTTCAGCAGGTCTTCAAACTTGGTCAGCTTCAACGACTCACGATCCGTCACGATGCTGCCGCCCAAGAGCAGCACGCGCGGGTTCTCGAGCATCCGCGGCGCTTTCTTGTGGCTTACGTTCTTTCGACACACGATGCCGTGGATCACTTGGCCAGTGTACGTTGACCGTGTGTCGGTGGAAGGGACGTCGTCCGGGACTTCCGCGATCGTCTTGATGTGCAGCATGTCTTGGTGGTTGAACATCCCGTCTGCAGCGTTGCGGTTATACGTAGCTCGAATGAGGAGGTCAGTGGTTTCGTCGATGACGCGCTCGAGTTCGTCCTGGACTGCGACGCGATCTTTTGCATCCGGTAGCAGGGAATCGACCGCGGTGTCTAGACCCCGGACGAGCAGCTTGCGCAGCTGCCGACGGCCGGCCATCTACCATGCTATGAGTCTTCATCGCGATGGAGTCTGGCGCCATACCTGGTGGGCCTCGAATGGCGTGCACGGCGTGGGTTCCACTGGCGCTTCAATGTGGTCAGGGTGGTCGGCCCACAGACCCTGGCAACCATCCATGCCCTCGGTAAAGCTGTGGCGGGCGCTTAACCGGGACTTGGTCGAAGACAGCGGAGGCGATTGGCAGTCAAGATGATCTCGGTGCCAGTGCTGGTCCTGCGACATACTGCCACGACCACCGGATTCCTCGTCCACCATGTCCAGCATCGATGACGCCGACTTTTCCAAATGCTCTTCTGCGTCATGGATGGCCTTGAGCGCGGACGCGAGTTCGGAACTGGGACGCCGAAACAGGTGCGCATACAGCGAGTTCGACCGCTGCGCCGTGTCCGAGGTGTCGACGACTGAGGGCAAGACGGTGTCGGACGGATCGAACTCGAGGTCGAAGCCAGCCACGTTGCCGTAGTCAAAAACGGTCTGGCTCACGATGGGGCTCATCAGGCCAGGTGGGAAATCCATCGCGACTTCGGTCGTGTTGATCGCCGACGACGAATGGTTCATGTGGCATCGCTTGCATATGCGGACGTGAGTCTTGACGCCTTGCTCGATGCTCTCGACGGCGTATGGGCTACACGAGTGGCAGAAGATGTGGCCGCATCCTCGGCAGTGGTGCCGGCGACGAAAAATGTTGAACGATTCACCGCAGTCCGAGCACACCTAATGTGCATGAGTCGTAGACACCAAAGGCGGGACGCACCTTGCACACTTTATCGGGCATCCAGGTCTGCCGTGTGTGGGGTGATGTTGCTGCGCCGCGTTTCGCGGGCGACAGGACCGTCGGGATTATCAGCGGTAAGGATGGAGGTGGCACGGCGACAGGCGACAATCGAGGACCGGACGACCGCTGCGTTCGTTCGTCAAGAAGGTCCTGTTATTCGAACCATCCGTCATGAAGTACATGTCACCAAGCGACTGAACTCACCTCTACGTCGGACACTAATCCAGGCTGGGGAAAGCTCGTGAGTCTGTGTACGGCAGCATTAGGGCACAAGTAACGTCGCCTTAAGTGTACCGTTTTTCTGCGGGAGAGTGCTTGGCAAAGAGCGGATTCTCTGGGGCCTGGGATGCGTTGGGCCGACTTGACGTTGGCGACAAGGACGGGACCACGTCGATCGGAAACGACGAGTTCTTCGTCGCGAGCTCAATCATGATTTTCGAGTCTAATGACGACGAAGTTCCATGTAAGGAGGCCATGACGTTGCCCGGCAGCGAGTCGGTCGATCGGCGGTCAATTGCAACGGCGGCGACGGCGCTTCGACTTTGCCAGACTCACGTCCAAGCCTCAATGTGACATGGGCATCGAATTATCCGGATAAGTTGAAGAACAGCCCCACGATTTTAAATAAACGTCAAGCGCACTGCCATACAATTGAATTGATGCAGCCGTATCCGGATACCCACTTGCGCGGTTCGCTCGTGTACGTACCGTACTGTAGTCAGTAGCGGAGGACTCGTACGCAGAGCAGCACTTCGCTGGACATGCATCGAATGATCCATGCAAGCCTGCAAGTGGCAAAGGTAAGGATAGCGATGGAAGCGGCACATCGGACAGTCTCTCAAGAACGATGGCTGGTGCAGCTGTTTCGTTTAAAACGCCCTCTGTAGCTCTTTGTCACACGGTGTATGCAAAACTGCGCGGTTGATCATGGTGAATAGACGCGCAGTAGTACTAGTAGTATGTACTAGACGAATACACAACCACGCTGCAGTTGTCGACACACAACGCGGCCCGTGAGGTCGTCGCCCAGACGCCGCATGCCGACATCGTCGCTTCGAAAGGCATGCGGACGTTCAACGTGACGAATGCCGCATCCAAGCTGAGCGCACACTGGCCGAGGGTCCTCGTGGGACCGCGGATGTCGAGACATGTGCATGAGCCATTTTCCTTGGGCCATACATCAATGCACAACACAACGTTCTCTACGACTGTCATCGCACGCGCATGTAGTTCTGGTACTTGGAGTGTCCTCCTTCAGTAGATGGTCCGCCAGCGAGCCCCGTTTGCTATGGTGCTGCTAGTTGATGCTGCTACAACAACCGTACCATGGTCGGTGGAGTTGCAGCCTGCTCGGCGAAGATGTCTCTCAACGGCAGGGAAAACAACGTGCACAGTGTAATACCTGTGCCAACCTACGCTCATTCTCCGCCGTGCGTTAGGCCATCGGCACGATGCTCGGGGTCATCGCTCGTTTGGGCCACAACATCGTTCCTTCTCCAGAGAATGCCCAGCAACATAATTGTCGACAGGGGCCATCGCAGTTGCGTGATATATTCCCTCACACCTTGCCTCCTTGCAGCAGCATCTTTAGTTACCAAGCACAGCCACAACTGGATCAAGGGGAATCGGCTTGCCACCATGGTCGATTGACCATGCCACTGTTGGTCCACGTCATGGACTACCTCCAAGATGACATCGGGAGCGCGGTCGTGATCACTTGCTAGGGCTGCGTCGAGTGCATGCGGCGGTGGATTCTACTGGAATGGCAGCGCCTTGGTCGTAATGTGAATCAAGCATCTCACGGGGTCGTGGTCCGACAAGTCCGCGCTATCATGGCGTCTGTACTCGATTCATTCGACCTCGCTCTTGGCTCAGCGAGTCATCCTGAGCCCCATCATGGGCACACCACCCCGGCATCCACTTGCAGCCACCATGCCTCGACATTCATGACGGAATGAAACAAGATGCAATTCGTGTACGAAGGCACGCGTGGCCCGCCGCCGTTGGACGCTTCCCTGTGAGTACGCAGACGCCACTTTCGGTGGTGTGAGCAACGACGACGTACGGCGGAGGCGTCGAAATGTGGGGGGACGTGATGGCCGCTTCGCCAAACCCTGCACACGCCACAGGGAAAGGATGTTGGCCATTCGGTGCAGCGACCCGGTAACTCGGATTGTTTGGATTCGTTTGGCACGTTGGAGTCGGAAGTGGCACGTTAGCGATCAACGTGTCGAGGATTCGACATGCAAACCCGACGCCGCCTCTGTTGGATGTGCGAAATGGGAGAGTCTTGTCGCAGTTCACCGTCAGTCAGCCACCATGTCACGACGCCACCACATTGGCATGGATGGGCAGCGTGCATCGCTGTGGTTTCATCGCGGGCGAAGGGGGCTTACCTCGGACGGATTCGGCATGTCATAGTTGCCAGTGTCGACGTCTCTGGGCGACAAAAATCGTGATGCCAATGTAACCTTGGTACTCCAACACGGTGCTTTTCGATCCAATGCCTCGGCTAAACTCGGCAAACGTGGTGAGGGTGCTGCGTTCGAGGTGCTCTTTTCCGGCGGCGCGCATGGTCGTCAAGGGCAAGCACTCATGAATCACGTAGATTGTCGTGGCCGAGGGGAATCCGCTTGGCCTTGGCGCAGAGGCACACATGAGCGCGACGAGATGCTATCACGTCAACGTATCATGTCGCGGGGGGGCATGACCTTCGACCAAAGTGAATGTGGTTGCAAAGATCTATCTGGGGGGCATCATCGCCCAAGAACGAGTTGGAGAGCTCGCTGCAGGTTGACATTCGTGTGACGCTCCCGTCTTTGTCGGCGCCGAGGAGTGCGCGGCGCACCGCATGGACGACTCTGCCATGCGTTCAACAGGTCTGGATGTCGCTGTGTCAATCGCAACAATGCCACCGAAAACTCTGTGTCAATGGCTGCACACGCGGCGGATGCGAACGAAGTGCTTGTCGACAGCGCGAAAGGTTTGCACAACTGGAAACGACACACACAGCTGCGAATATGGCAGGGGGCGCTGGATTCTGGACGAGATATTGGAGGCCGATGCACCATGCATGGGCTCTACACGACGACGTCGATTCGTACGTACGCAGGCCGCTTGCTGGAGACCAGGGTCGACGCAGCGTCTTCGTTGTCTTGTCGGAACCATTCGTGACCATGGGATTTGTGCCGGGAGGACGGCGCAGGGGTGCCACTAAAGTCACCGGCACGTACGACTGCTTTCATTTGAAAACGTCGAGGCCGACGGGGATGGCGAGCGTAGTGATCCCGGCAGTGGCGGCAATCACCCACGGGAAGAAAAAGTAGATGCATCGCGTGCCGTACGAGTCCCCGACCCAGCAGTAAAACCCCGCAGGTCCGTGCTTGTCGGCCGCCGCCAAGTACAGCGAGTGACTCGACAATCGACAGCCCCAAACTGACAAAACAACAGGATCGAACCGACGCCCGGTGGAGTTTGTAGTCGTCGTCGCCCCAATCGATTCCCCGGTACCGACGAATCTGTGACTCGTGGCACAGACTCGTCACCGTCGCGGCAAGGGGCATCGACACACTGGACATACGAACAAACGAACAAGACGAAACGAACGGACGATTGGACACCATGCAAACACGCACCAGAGCGCGGCAGGACGCATGCACGACAATGCTCTGGACATTGCACGGCCGCGTGTACCCGAGCATGCCAAAGAGCTTGACTCGTGCGGCAGAGAGGTGGACGATCGATATGACGTGGATTGTGTTCGCCGCAAACTGTCGGTCCGACGAGATGCCAGATCGGACTGCGACCTGCTGCGGACGGACGGAAACGCACGTCAGGCTTTGTTCCGTCGGGATGGTCATGAGCTATTGAACGAGGTTGTGGTCGACATTCGGCCGTCTTGACGCATGCACAGCGCGCAGTGCGTTTGTTGTATCCATCACGACTTGCGAGACGGATGCGGTATTCCCTGGAAGGCGCACGGCGACGCGTTGTCAGAAAGGCGGCGCAGGGACGATGGTCATACGCTCGCCAAGTCCCGCGTGGGTGCGGCGTGGATGGGGCTGTGGACGTCGCCACGACCATCCATCGTTTGCGAGCCCCATCCTGCACGCACTCGACTGCGTGCATCACTTGAAAATTCTCCCACCGCCATGCACACCGCGTTGTTCGTCCTTGCCTTGATTGTGGATCTTGCTGCGTGTGCCTTTGGCCTGGACAACTCGACCAACAACTCGACCACAGACACCATCGCGGCGAGCGTCGAGACCGACCAGAGTGCGGTGGCCCAGTGGCAAGTCACGTTCGAAGACCACTTTGACCACTTGGACTTGACCAAGTGGCAAGTATACCACGAATGCTCGACCCACCACGACTGCATCCACAACGACGAGAAGCAAGTGTACCTGCGCGATCAAGTGTACGTCGACAACGGCCACCTCGTGCTGGAAGCGTCCAACGTGTCGCACTATTCGCCCGCGTCCGGGGAGCGCCACTTTCGATCGGCCAAGCTCGACACAGCAACGTCGTTTAGCCAGCGCTTTGGCAAGTTTGAAGCGCGCATCCGACTGCCCCGTGGAGCGGGGATGTGGCCGGCGTTCTGGTACTGCTCAGTGTGTGGCTTGTTGCGGTCTCATGGACGCTGTAGGCTCATGCCAAAGGGGGGGCAGTGCTGGCCCATGGACGGCGAGATCGACATCGTCGAGTATGTCGGGCAAACCCCCCAAACGATCTACGGTGCGTCCCCGATGCTGCTGCATACCTAAGAAGGGGCGACGAGTAGGCAACTACCACTTTGGAGGAGCGTGCAATGCAAATCGACACTACGACCCGGACGTGTGCGGTCCCACCGGTGGCGCCAGGAGCGATGGCTCGTTGTCCGATGACTTCCACGTGTACTCTGGTAAACGTCCATGTCGGTGCGTCTGCTGTCTGACCACGTCGTCCCAGTCGTGTGGACCCCGTCTTCCATCGCGTGGTACATGGACGGCCAAGAATTCTACCGCCTGCCCCCCACGCGTGGTTGCCGCCGCCCGTCGTCGCTTTTTCTTCCGTCCAAGCCGTTCTACCTCATTCTCAACTTTGCCGTGGGGGGGACGTGGCCAGGGGAGCCGACTGCCGCCACAACGTTTCCCCAGCGGATGGTGGTGGACTACGTCAAAGTGTTCCAGCGTAAGCACGTCCCATCGCAAATGCCAATCTTGTTGCACACGTGAACGGCGTAGGGCTGGCCACGACAAACGATGACGAGACGATTCGTTTTCCGCAGTGAATCGAATGATCGTCGTGCGCCGCGTCGTGGATTCGATGCTGGGGTTTTGAATACCAACGACGCCTTGGCATGTTTCCTGGCCATCTTCGCCCCGTGCGGGACGACGTTGTTGACAGATGACGATGACCAAAGTCGTCCTGACCTTGTTCACAGACAGCGTCCATGGCGGGTATTCTGATGGAGGAGAAAGGGGCTCGTCTGGCATACGGGATCGATCCCGACAAGGAGCACACACCCCTATCAACTCATACAGCTGCATAAATAACGTTAGCAGACGCATTCCGCCAAGTCGTCCGTGACTGACGACCGCTCCGACTGCACGTCTTGGGTGAATTTTCCATCTTCGGGCAACGACTCGATATCTGCCAGCGCGGGAAGCCCACGCAATGCCTTTGGGGACAACCCATTGAAGTGCACCGACCACGGCGGCCCCATGGCGTCGCACAACGCTTCGACAACGTCCGTCGTGACCGCGGTCAAGTGGTGGTCACGAAAGCCTTCCGTGATCACGACGGCGCAAATGCTGCGCAAGATGAACGAAACGCACGCGTCGACGAGGTCGGTCGCGTGGCACTGGTCAGCCACGACCCAGATCGCCATGGCATTTTGCGCAGAAATTTCGTCGACGAGGAAGCGCTCGACTCGTTTTTGGAGTTCGGGAACGCGGTACAGCGCCGACGCCACCAGCAAGTCGACCGCGTTGTGGAGGTCGATCGCAACTTCCTCCGTGTACAGAAAATGAATCAACAGCGAAAACGTGTGGTTGCTCACGTCCGACACTTCAATGTCTTTTTGCAGTGACCCGAGCTAGACAAATCCACGACATCAGGCAACGGGATGCGTTCGATTCGGGTCGTACGAGCCGTTTGAAATACGGGTTTTGCACACTGAGGACGACGCGGTTGGCTGCAATCTTGTGCGCCCCCACGGCAAACCAGACGTCGATGGTTTCCTTGTCGCGGTCGTACGTCTCTCGCAGCGACGGCACGACCACGTCGATTTTCGGATGGTACGATGACGGAAGCATGTGCTTGATCGCGTGCGCGACAATTCGATGGGAATACTCGCTGTCGTCGTGGAGAAGTTCCAAGAGAATGCCGATTAAGCCTTCCGGGATCAGCTTTGGCCAGTCGGCGGGGTCCAGCAGGTGCACAAGGCTCAGCATGACGTTCCCTCGAAACGCCCCTGCAAACAATCATGTTAATGCCTCGTTTAGCAAGCGCAGCTGCAGATACCAGACGCCGTGTCGGGGGCCACACGGAGTGATGCAAACAACATGGTTTTGAACTCGCGGCGGGCGACGTAGCCCCAAAAGTTCTTTAGGGTGAGGAGGCACACGCGCCACGCTGCCGATCCTTCCTCCATTTGAAGCATGTGCAGCACCGTGCCTGGTTCAATACTGTGAGCCATGGCGATGTAATTTCATTCATGTGGAATTATTCCACCGACCTTCAAGAATCAATTGAAGCGCTGTGGGTAGCCGCTGAGACAATTTGTGTAGCGTCCCGGCCGCCTTGACGGCAACAATTCCATCCGTCGAATGCAGCGCAGTCAATAGGATCGGGATCCCACCACCGCGCGCGAGCAGTTCGTGGTTCCGATGGTTTTCCATCAGGGTTTCGAGGACGACGACTGCTTTGCAATGGACAGCCACGTCGCGCCGAGCGTCGGCAAGGCCCGACAAGAGCGCGGGGATCGCAGACATCACACATCCGTCGCAGAACCGCTGCTTGTCGTCAAAGCCTTCGACAACCGCGCGTGAGAGCGAGCAGTCGTTGCATACA